CTACAGTAGCGATCTACAGCCATCATTTCTACAATCTTGTGCCCTCATACCCGAGATGTCCCAACCCGTATCTCCTGAATTCGGAAACGCTACACCGTGTTATAGTACTGGTCATAAGACGAATCAGGACACCGATCTGAATGTTTCGCGCAAAAATATCACTGTGGCGGAAACACTTACACGGTTTTTCGCAAAACCCAACTCCCAACCGCCCAGCCAGGCAGTTAACTGTTTCGGGTCTAAGGTAGAATCAAGAGGGGTCAAAGCACATTTAGTCCATGGCCTGCAATAGTTGTTTAGATTCAGATGTGGACACATCTCACGGGCTAAGAAGCCCTTTTAACTTTTAACTCACAACAACATGATAGCTTCAACAATCCTTCGGGCTTAGTACTTAGGCCATGGAACAAACCCAAAAATGAGTCCTAAGGAACCACCAGCGGGGTCATCATGAGTGATCTTACTCATGATGCCCTGCTCTTCGCAGCCACTGGGACAGGGAGAACCGAAGTATCGGGCTCAAGGGAACAGCGACATGACCCTGCACACCCTCTGTAAAGGACTGTGGGGTCGTATTAGTGATATAAACCACTAAACCGGCAAAATCCATGAAGCCCTGCAAACCCCTAAGTTCTCAACCCCACACGCTACATCGCGAAACCTATAACCGCACGCGGCATCACTTACTGTGTCCCTCCCTGGGAACACCTTGCGAAACCCAAACCAGAAACAGCAAAACGCATCTTAACCCTAAGACCCTTAACCTGAAACCCTGTAAAAGCTGTAGCTACCCCCGTCGTAAACCCCATAAATCCACTCCGGGATACGCTTCCGAGGCCATACTATCCTGTTTGACGACCTCGGGGTTGCACTTGGAAGATAAAGCGAGTGCTTAGGATGGGCAAGGTTGAGTAAGACGGAGAGAATAATGCCATGAGCCCTCTTTAACAGTGACTTTGATTCCAACGGTCTGTGCTTGACCGATCAGGACAGATAGAGCAAGTAGCGGTCAAAGTACGGAAACTGTAGATATATCAACTTCTAGTCCGAAATAGGATACTCAAAACCAATACTTACCACTGGTCCTAACTGAAGCCGTGAGCCTTGCGAGTAGGCTTCTGAGCTTTGGGTGTCGTGTCCAATATAACTAGAGGGGCCTCAAGGTTGCGATAGGTATTGGAATATGTTGTACCCAGAGAACCCAATTTAGGAATATACGTTAAATTATAGGGTTCTTAATATTATGATTTATAGGGTTCTCTGGGTACAAATGAATCTGCAGTATAGTTGTTTATATATACAGTTTATATGATGGTTACATGATGAGGGTATATTAATACTGCTTTACCCGAACCGCTGTACTACATATTTCGGACTGTCTTCTTTGTTTGCGTCAAGGGGTTTAGGGGTTTTAGGGCTTGGGACGTTGAGGGTCATGCCAAACGATGGTTGGCAGTACTGTTGGTGTGGGAAATTGCTCTTCTTCGGCATATTGCTAGTAGATTCCTCCTCAGCTTATAAGATATACTACCAAAACTGTCAGATACTGTCATGATAAACGTCGTTTACTCTTGTGGCTCCTTGCTGCTACTGCTGCTAATCCTGCTACTCCTCCCCCTCTTTACTGCCACCACTACAGCTACTGCGGGTGGCAAAACATCCTACGTCATATAACTGAGCGCTTGTGGTGATCAATGCTTGATGACCTAAGGCAGGATTTGAATCATTCGTGCCCGTCCTGTTTGTAGTTCTTGGGATCACTACTATGATCGTGGCTGCATGCAGGAGAAGAGAACTCTCTGCAGAAATCGATGCTGTTCTAGATAATATGATAGTACCTAGACCCTCCATCTACCTGCTATTAGACCCTAAATACCCTTAATTTGGGACCCTTTACCCCTACTTGAGGGTACTTGGAGGGTCCTGGTACTGTGACCGCCAGAATCCTGCGCATGGTTGGTTTTATCCTCCGCTAGGTATTACGGCTCGCCCTCGGCCATGGCCCAATCGCGGCAGATCCCTCCAGGGTCCCATACACCCGAGCTCCTGAACAACACCTAAAGTCTTGTGAAGTCGTCTATAAAAGAAAACCTTTGTGAATGCCATACATCACCCAAAATAACACACACAAGCACAAAAACTCGATTATTAACCCTGGAACCCAAGAGGTTTTAGCTGCAGCTCGGGGTGGCAGTGGGTCCTAAACTCCAGATTACTTGACTGGCTTACACTTTATTGCTTCAGCTGTGGTAGACCGCGAGTGGTTGCTAGAAGCCTTCTTGCGCTCCTCTCCTTCTGAGTTCCTGGCTGACTCTGTTTCATTATTGTTGCCCTGCCTGCCATTTCAGAGCATGACACTGGCTCCCTGTTGGAGCTATATTAAAAATTGAAAATGATCATTTTTAATCCTTATTGAGTTTTATCATTTTACTATAACAAAAATGTAAAATCGTATTTAACAAGGAGGACAGGATGGATTCTTTGGCTGGGGCTCCACAACGGAATGGCTGCCGTGCTTCGCCGCGCGTCTTGGACCCTATACGGGTTACAGCATCAAGGCCTGTTGGGCTGCGTAGGAGTCTCAGACATAAGAAACCCAGGCATGACCCGGAAATGGTCAGGTCCCATCATGAACTCCAGCAAAACGGAGAATCCTTGATCGATGCCAGCATAGGGTTTATACGGCTATACTGTCTGTCAGACTTTATGAGAGTTTCACCGAGGGAAGCAAACGCCGACAAAAAAGTTTTCAATAGGTTCATGAGGAATTTCACTCTAGCATTTATGGGGCTTAGGCTTAGTCTTGAATGCAAGTAAGTTATCGCGCCGACAAACCCAGAGAGCCCAATACCCCCTAAATAAGGAATGTACTTTAAATCATAATATTAAGGCCCCCTATAATTTAAGGTATAATTCCCATTATTTCCCTTATAGAATCCTTATAGAGACGCTTATAGAGACCCTTTAAGGAACCCTATAATTTAAGGTATATTTCTTATTTAAGGGCAATTGGGCTCTCTGGGAATAACCCTTTCAAGCGTGTGGGGAGAACGGCAGCAGCGCCAGCTTGTGGCGGATGGCTCCCGCGCAGAACTGGGCGCAAAGCTTCGTGGGTTTAGGGTTTAGGGTTTAAGGGTTCAGGGTAAGGGTTTAGGGTTTAGGGCAGGGGTCAGGTTTTCGGAAGTTATGGAAATCGGGGGAGCGATTTCGATTCAGTTTTGAAGCCTCAAAGATTATAAGAGGTTGCTTGCGAGTTTTGACCGTTGAGCTTGTTGGATTGGAGTTGAGGACTCGCAAAAAAAAAACACTCCAAAATCAACTGCACAGTGGTTCAGGGGTTCACGCAACTCTGTTACAAATCCTGAACCCTGTCTAAACTGTAAGCCTCTAACCCCCACCTGCAACTGCAGTTCTATCAACTCTCCCGAACCCTACAGAAGCGCTGATGCACCTAAAGGTTCTCATCGGGTGCGCTTGAGAGAGTAGCCTGAAAAGCTGCAGCATGTTTAGGGTCTAGGGTTGAGGTTTTAGGGTTTAGGGTTCAGGGTTTAGGGTTTTGGGTTTAGGGTTTTGGGTTTAGGGTTCAGGGTTTAGGGTTCGCTTCTATCGATGCCGGATTGTTGCAACCCCTCCCCACCCCCGAGCAGATGCCTGCATCGCCGCCTCTGCGTCCTCTCGGCGAGAGCAAGCCCAAGTGGACTCCTTTTGGAGAGGAGCCAGTAGCAGTACGGTTTAGGGTTTAGGGTTTAGGGAAGACGACAGGAATATGTAAGACTACAGCAGCACTGAATCTAGATCTAAGGAAAAGCAGCAGCTGATGTGGAGGCCGTTTTGGAGTTCTCAAGGCTTCGTTGTGCACAGGAAAGAAAAAGGCTAGTGAGTGTACGGGAGGAAAGGGGTGGCGAGTAACGTACATCTACAATCTACAGTCTCTGTTAGACAAGGCTTCTTTCTGTGTTTGGTAAGGTTTTCCGAAGAATTTCTGACGGACGAGCTTTTTGGCTAGACCAGTACAAGGTTTTCGGATGTGGGTGAGAAAAGGCTTCCTGCTAGACAAAGGGTTCCGTTCTACAAGACGGTCTCTTAAACGATCGGCTCGTTCAGTCAAGGCGTTCTGTTAGACAAGCTGCAGACTACACAATGGGTTGGGCTTTGTTCGTTTGGCTTGGCTTGGATAGTCTTGTGCATACATACATATGCACACATGGCCATACATAAAGCGGACTTTCTTGTTGTTTACCTCAGAATACATACTTACATGCACACGGGCATAGTTGCCTCGAGATATTTCTGCAGTCCCTGATGTCAGTATACATGCGTATTCACAGATACTTATGTAAAAACTGAACGGCTCTCGTTTTGCTCAAACGGTTCGGGGATAGATAAGGTCCTCTCTTGCACTGGGTTCTCTGTTTCACAGTGCTCGTCAGAGGTCTGGTTAAATAACTTGGGTCGGCTTGAAGTGGTTTGGCTTAATTGTACGCTATTGTTGAGAGAGCCTCAAGACCTAAAGCCACGATACACCACAGTACACATGCGTACACACAAACACACACAGACACACACACAGACACACACACACAGACACACACACAGACACACACACACACAGAGACACACACACACAGATACACACCGACACACACACACAGATACATAGATACATAGATACATAGATACATAGATACATACATACATACATACATACATACAGACAGACAGACAGACAGACAGACAGACAGACATACATTTGCATGCATACATGCGCATGCATACATACACGAGTAGCATGTCAGTGCATGCGCATGCTTCCAAGGAGGCCTCGAAGCATCGTATCGTTTATCGGCAAGGCATGGCTCTGCGTTCCCTTTGCTGCAAACAGCAGGAGTTGTCCAAACCAGTCAGGGTCTTCACAACATTGCTGGTCCTGCCCTTAGTGTGGCAAATGTCCTTCACCACGCAGTGAAACCGAGCTCAGAGTCGAACAACTTTGGTTCGCATCAGTGGAAGATCCGCCGGTAGATGATCACGTACTCAGGGTAGACCTGCGCCTGGTCGTAAACCACGAACTCCCGATAGGTGCCAGCCGCATGCTCCTTTGTCAGGTGCACAGGTGAAGCTTCTTGTGCAGTAGCCGTGCATGTGACACGCAATGATAAAGCTAGTTGAGGGTTCATGGCTAGGTTAGATGTAGGGGCCTTGATAGTAGAACAAGGATTTGGAGGATCTTTTACTATGTATATATGAACAGCCCACGGAGTAGTAGCACTACTGTGTTGGCGTCTTCACTATAATGGTTACAAGCATGACGAGCTTCATTCGGATGCGACCACCTACATACGACATCCCATGAAGTAACCCCTGTAGGAACCCTATCGAAGCCATATTACAACCTACTTACGACCTCAACACGAACCCTGTAAAACCCCAAACCCTATTAACAAACATACAACCTTTGTGAAACAGATACAAAAACCAAATAAAACCTGACTTGACGAACAAAGGCTGAGCTTGAAAGACCGAGTTGCTCGGTCTCCGAGGGTACCATCGTAACGTCCGGTCCTGCATTTGCTGTCAAAAAGACCTTTCGGCTAATGACGGTTTCTTTTTGGACTTAAAGGTTTTGCATGGCATGTTGTTAGGGCTCAGGATTGAGGGTCATGGGCTCCGGATCTAGCTTACGGTTTTGGGTTTTGGTTCAAGGTTTAGGGCTGCTGTGGTCTTCTAAGCCCCATCGGTCCTGGAACTCTGAACCAATCTGGGGTCTGCGGCCTCCACCCGAAACAGTTCGCCACAAACCACGCGACAGAGAAGCATCGCGCACCTTGGCTGCCCGGTCTACCGGCGAACAAATCTCAAACCATTCAGTCAAAATGGGCATTAAGCCTCTAATCACAGCACGTGTATGGATTAAGCGTAGAAAGGGAAGTATGATTGTGCAATCTCAAACAGTCCGCTACCAAGGCTCGTAGAAGATTCTCCTGGCTTTATCAGTCCCGAAAGAGTACTACGGTACTTTGGGGGTTCTGAAAACTCTGAAAGACTGATTGAAAACTCATCAAGAGAACCCTATAGAACCCCAACGGCACCATACGGAATGAATACGAGTCCTTCTAACACACTTCGCATGGCTTTAACACCACACTAAACCCTTGATGAAGCCCTGTAAAGGCATCCAAAAAAAAAAACAAGCCTAAACCCCTAAACTGCATAAACTCGAAGCCCCCAAACCCTGAATCTCACGACCACACCGACACCATCCGATTTCTGCTTTTGCCAGCTGTCCCATCAGCCCTAAACCCCAATCCCTCAACCCTATAAACCCTAAACCCTAAACCCCAAACCCCAAAACCCCTAAACCCCCAAACCCTAAACCCTATAAACCCTAAACCCCTAAACCCCAAACCCTAGAATCCCTAAACCCTAAACCCTATAAACCATGTAAACCCTATAAACCCTATATTAATGAACCCTATAAGCCCTAAACCCTAAACCCCTAAACCCTATAACTCCTAAACCCTAAACCCCAAAAGAAGGAGGCGCTTCCCAGCGAACAGCCCGCTGGGATCCTCGGAGGCGTACTCCTGGGCTGTTAAGCCCCTTTAGAAAAGGGGGTTAAGGGTTTAGGGTTTAGGGTTTAGGGAGTTTAGGGTTTAGGGAGTTTAGGGCTTATAGGGTTTAGGGTTTAGGGAGGTTTTGGGTTTAGGGAGTTTAGGGCTTATAGGGTTTAGGTTTAGGGTTTAGGGAGGTTTAGGGTTTTGGGATTGGGGTTTGGAGTTTAGGGGTTTCAGTACTCCTGGGCTGTTCTCAGAGAGCCCAATACTCCTCAAATAAGGAATATACCTTAAATATCCTTAAATTATAGGGTTTAGGGTTTAGGGTGCTATAGGGGGCTTTATATTATGATTTAAGGTATAATCCTTAATTAAGGGGTATTGGGCTCTCTGGGTTCTTTCAGGCCCTTTAAAAAAAGGGTGTTAGGATTTAGGGTTTAGGGATGTTTAGGGTTTCCGGATTGGGTTTGAGAACCCCAAGGGCCCAAATGCCCAAACCATTGCAGACGTTGTAGGCTTTTCGTAGATGGTTGGGCGACCAAAATACATACTATACTTGTCCGCGGACCCCATGGGAAAACATACATACTATACTTGTCCGTGGACCCCACGGGAAAACATATGATGATACTTCCCGCGTACTAGAACATGCGCTGCTGAAATGAAAAACAGCTTCAGCTTGTTTCGTAGACTAGAATATTAAGCTGTACTTCTTGTCCCATCGCAAGAATACTATGTCTATGTATATATATATATGTATATATATATATAAAGGCGCACACACACACATACACATACGGTAAGGGACCATATTAGTTTATGGAGTATATGTATACGGGATAAGTATTCCGAAGTGTGTGTGAGTATGCGTATATGTATATGTGTGTATATATACATGTATGTACGTATGTACGTATGTATGTATGTATGTATGTATGTATGTGAATATATATATATATACACATAAATGTATATAGGTGTATAGGTGAATGTATGTATATATGTATATATATATAATATATATATATATGCAGGATACTAGAATTCAAAAGAAGGTTCGGTTATGTACGATCGGCCAAGACTCGTCACCTTTGCTGCTCGCCTCAGCGAAGTAGGCCCCAGGGCCGAACCTGAGGCTGCGCACTTTTGGTTTGCTTACAGGGCCTTTGGGTTTTAGGGTTTTAGGGTTTAGGGGCTTAGGGGTTTAGGGTTTAGGGGTTTAGGGTTTAGGGGTTTATGGTTTTGGGTTTAGGGGCTTGAAATAGGTTTATAGGGGCTTGACTGTAGGGCTTGAGGGTTTAGGGAGTTTAGGGGCTTGACATAGGTGTCTTAAGAGTTTGCTCTTTCTTTGGGTTGTTGCTTTGGCATGCCAGGGCGCTTTTAGGCTGGTGTGTATCTTCGTTGGGCCATGGTCTCCTAAGAAGGACCTCCGGAGACCGCGAGACGCGTTCGCACTGATGGTAAAAGACTGGAACTCTCCGCGTTAAGGGATGCGGGTTTAGGGTTTAGCAGGGAGAAAGAAAGACCGATTCAAGCTGAAGTAACCCTAAACCCTAAACCCTAAACTGTTTTACAGGAACATCAAAGGGCTTCGTGCGCACTTCGCGGGTGTTGGGCTCAAGGTTGTGAGGTTCGGGGATTTTGGGCTGAGGTTCTCTGGTGTTTCGATTCAAACGGGTTCAGAGTTTAGGGTTCAGGGGTTTAAGGCTAATTGAAACAAGAACCAATGAAATAGCAGAGTTGTTTTGGAGACCCCTTGCACCGCAAGGACCCCCACCACAACCCCAAAGCCCTGCAGTCCCTCCCGCACCCAGCTTTTGTGTCGAACCGCGTGCTTACCTACCCTTCAGGATTTGGCGACTGTTCCAGACTCTCGTCTCTTGCTGGGCAGTGTTCACTTTGCCCCAAAGCGCTAAGACCTTAAACCCTATAGTCAACAACCCGGACCCTCCTTAAGAACATCCTTAAAGTGACCGTTTGTCGTGAGCATTTTCAAGCCCAGAACAGTTACGTCGATGAGATGCATACAAAACTCCATGACTCAACTACAGATAATCCCATCAGCTCAAATCTATTCCTCGGGGTTCCTATTATAGTTGCAGCATCACATACCCCCCAAAAAACCTGCTTCCACTTTCTAAGGCCACGGTACTAAACACCCTTCCTAGGTAATCCTCATCGAAACCCTTATTGTCCCTTTCTTGTGCCTTTAAAAGGGAACCCAGAGAGCCCAACACCCCTTAATTAAGGAATATACCTTAAATCATAATATTAGGGCGCTGAAATTTAAGATATACATTCCTTATTTAAGGGGGATTGGGCTCTCTGGGAAGCCTTAAAGGAAGCCTCGTCTCTTTGTTAAGGCCCCTGTACTACACTGGCATCAACACAGTCCAGGTGGCATCATGCCAGCACTCGAGCCCGCCAAGTCCAAGTTAAAACCGGAAGAGCCTCGTGAGATGGGTCTACCCATGTAGTTCCTTGTTGGGATGACCTTATAGGATTCTAAATATAAACCATAAAAGGGAGCTACTTCGGGGCCTATGGGTAGGGTTTAGGGCTTGATGGTTTCAGGGTTTGGGGTTCTGCCCTTCTTTCATGACCCCTCAGCTTGCCCTAAGCGCTATGTAAGCCCTGTGCCCGGGATCTCAAATCATGGATTCGTGAAACGCGGGGCGCAGTGCAGTGTGCTCGGTTCAGTACCACTAGTGAAACTCAGACAAAAAGGACCTTAATCTCCCCAGAGAGCCCAATCCCCCTTAAGTCTTAAGTAAGGAACATACCTTAAGTTATAGGGGCCTTAACATTATGATCTAAGATATACATGCCTTAATTAAGGGGTATTGGGCTCTCTGGGAAAGATCAAAGGTAGGATCCTTCTTGGAGAGATCCTTTCTCAAAGGAATCCCGAAGTCCAAGAAGCAGGAGCTCGAAGGAACGGTAGAAGCAACTTTAGGGTTTAGGGGTTTAGGGTTTAGGGGTTTAGGGTTTGTAGAAGCAATTCAATTAAGGCTTCTGTAGTAGGCTCCGTAGGTTAGAAGGGTGTAAGTTTCGGCCATAGATGGAGTCTTCAATGCTGTCGCCGGAGGGTGTCAATCAAGTTTTTGGGGACTTACGTGTGTGTGTGTGTGTGTTGTAAACCAGGGTCGTTTAGAAGGCCCCATTTGTAGGAGCCATGGGGAATGCTCTTCCGTACAGTAAACCCTAAACCCAAAGCCCTTCAACCCTCAACTAAGGACCCTACGAAAAAGGGGTGCTTTCTCTGGCTGTGGTAGTTGAGGCGCCTATTCCAAGGACGCCGGCAGGACTGGAGCCGTGGAACAGGTAGAGCTCGTTGATGCTGCTGTCCAGCCTCAGGGGTTTGTATAGGAGCGGCTTTAAATAGAATAGGATGCCGGGGTATATTATAGCACCCTAAACCCTAAACCCTTGGGGTATATTATAGTACCCTAAACCCTAAACCCTTGGGGTATATTTTGTAGTATCAGCTTTGCATGGACTGTCAGGGTATAGTATATGATGCTACCGGGCCTCAAGGCTTTGGTTTCAGGGCTTTACGGGTTGAAAGGGTGGCGGGCTTCTGGGGCCCAGCGAGCCCAATACCCTTAAATAAGGAATATAGCGTAAATTATAGGGGCCTTAAATATTATGATTTAAGGTATATTCCTTGATTAAAGGGCATTGGGCTCTCTGGGGGTGAGAGGGTTTGGGGTTGAAAGGCTTCGAGCTTGAGCGGTTGGAGGTGATGTGCAGGATCCTCGCACCCAGAGAACCCAGTACCTCTTACTGAAGGACTATACCTTACATCATAATATCAAGATCCCTATAATTTAAGAATACCTCGGAATCAAGGAATATTTCTTGAGTCATAATATTAAGAACCCTAAGATTTAAGGTATATTCCTTAATTAAGGGGTATTGGGTTCTCTGGGCACTCCAGTAAAGGCTCTACGGCATCAAGAGCTGAACTGTTGCGTTCTGCAGCTGACAGGAAGGACTTTCAGTTTGTACCCAGAGAGCCCAATACCCCCCCCTATAATTTAAGGTATATTCCTCATTTAAGGGGGAGTGGGCTCTCTGGGTACCAGATTGCAGTTGAAAATTGTCTTTCTTGTGAGGCTGCGTATGCAAACGACAGAGAACCAAACAATCGATCAGTGAATCAATCCATGCATGGATGTATGCATTCATGCATGGATGTATGTATGCGTGCAAGCACAAACGCTCTACCACGAAAAACCTGGAAGATCGAACACATACTTCCAAGCGTTGCAGTGTGCCTGGCGTTGAGGTCGCCCAAGCTTCTTGTCGTCTTGCAGCTGCCGCTGCCTGGCAGGTCCTTGTAGGGTTGTAGGGTTTAGGGATTAGAGTTTAGGGTTTAGGGATTAGAGTTTAGGGTTTAGGGATTAGGGTTTAGGGTTTAGGGATTCGGGTGTAGGGTTTGGTGTTTCGTCGTGTCTGGTTGCGCCAAATCGTGAGACGCATCTGCTTGCCTGGCACTTAAAGGTTCTAGGGGGCTTGGGTCTCAGTTCAATGGGTTTTGGGAGGTTCATTATAGGGTTTAAGGTTTTTAGGGTTGGGTTTAGGGTTGAGGGTTTAGGGCTTAGGGAGTTTATGGACTGTAATAGGGGTGCAGCTACCCTAAACCCTAAACCAATAATTTCGGCCCCTATACCCTAAACCCTAAATCCCTAAACCCTAAATCCCTAAACCCTAAACCCTAGGCCCCTATAGTTTTCTAAAGGGTCTGGGGGTCTCAGGGTCTTTAGGAGGGGTCTATTGACTGAGGCTTGGGGCTTTAGGGCTTTATATAGACCCTGTATAAGGCTACTGTAACGGTAACTATCCACCTGAAAATGTCCTAGATTTAGGGATTTCGGGTTTGGGGTTGAAACCCTCACAGAGTCTAGGTGTTTCAGTGCTCGAAGGGTGGGCCTTGGGAGTAAAGTCATGTACCCTAAAGCCTAAACCCTACACCTTAAACCCTAAACCCTAAACCTTAAACCCTAAACCTTAAACCCTAAACTTGAAGCCCTAATAAACCAAACCCTAAACTTTAAACCCTAAACCTTAAGCCCTAAACCCTGAACCAATTTCTACGGCCATCATCGTTCCAATGGGGACCGTAGAGCCACCTTGTGGGAGACCGTCCCCCCAAACAAAAGTACATGAAAGGGCATTGCGAGTGCGTTTGGGTTTTCAACTTTCAGACAATCACGCCGTGGTGCATTGTCTCGTAGACCGTAGACCGTAGGCACAAAAAGAGATAATGGCCTGTTGAAGTATCCTTGCGATCAACTGTGAGTTGCATCTGCTTGGTGTTGATGTTTCCCAAGCCCTAAACCCCGCTAAACCCTAAAATCCTAAACGATGGGGGTGGTTTGGAGATCAGAGTTGAGCTTGCCGGGGGTTGTGGAAAGCCCCATGCGATAAGACCGAGCTTTCATCGAAGTTTTTCGGTTTCACATTTGAGGTGCGGACCCTAAACCCTGAACCCTGATACCCTAAACCCTAAACCCTGCGGCTGTGTGCCATTGACTTCTTTAGACGTGTTGTAAGATGGGATGCCTCCAGCTGCGTGACCTCGTCGGTCTTCAATGCAATCCTGCGTCACTTCTGTCTCAGAATGGATGAGTAAAGGGTTTTTGGAGGTTCATTATAGGGTTTAGGGTTTTTAGGGCTTTTAGGGCTGTTAGGGTTTAGGGTTTAGGGTCTTTGGGAATTTCCACTAGGCTTCTCAATCATGGACCAAGGCTCTATCCCCGCTTGGAAAAGCTTCAAGCTGCAGCACTTGGCCAAAAACGGCAAGGAACTCCCAGTAAGGACCCGACCGTAACAGTTCCAGAGACCCCCACTGTAATTGAAGAAACACGCCTCAAAGATCAGGGCCGTCCCTGCTATGATCTTAACGATGATCTACACTGGCTGCAGACACCTATGGAAGCATCTACATATGCTTACGATCACAATTCTTAGTACAGTTGCTTATTATTGCTATTGCTATTGTTAATAGTAGTGTTGCTATTACTGATATCGTTCCTACTACAAGTATTGTCATCAAGATTATAAGTGTTACTAAGATTATTACTATTATGTCAGCTATTGTTATTGTGAATACCGTTGTTCTATTCAATAATGTTATCTATATGATTATCACTATGATTATGATTATGATTATGATTATTATTATTATTTGCATTACTACTGATATATTTCTAGTATTGCCTTATATCCATGTTATTATTATTATTATTACGATTATTGCTATGGTTATGTTGTTGCCCTTTTCTATTTACAGTCTTGTTCTTCTTCTTGATACTGTTACTTCCAAGATTACTGCTACTATTGTGGTTGCTAAAAATAGTATCATTACGATTATTGAGATCATTGTTAAGCGGTTCTGGGGTCTCTAAGATTCCCGGTATTCTCTTCGGCACCCTGCCTTGCCCGGCGATCGGAGTATTTCTGCCAGAGGGCGCTGTCTTCGACCCGTTGGATCATCTCCACCACGAGCCCTCGCGGTTGTGTTGAGAGTCTAAACAAGCTGAACCTTCGACTGCCCTTGCGCAACGGGCCCTACAATGATTCGTGATCCTGACAATATGGTTACAACTTATAACTTCTAGCCAAGCCAAGAAGAGTCTACAATTGAGGTTAATGTAGGGGCCTTAATAGTTAAAAAGAACGGGGTCTGGGCTCCTTTGTAATATAATTTCAATAAGGAGCCCTTAGAATAGTATTGGTAATTGTTTAGGCTTCTCTAGTGCCCGTAGGGATCTGCGGGCTTCGGGGCCTGGTGTTCGCACGGGCCGTCTCCAAGGCAATCTCAGTCCTAAACCCTAGGGCGTGTCCCTTTGGCCCCAAATCTCCGCCCAAACTCCAGCAGTGGCGCCAGTAGAATGGTGGTTTGACGAGGGCAAAAGCGCTTCTACAAAGAACATATTTGTAGGAGTGTCACAGAGTCACGTATTCATTTTGGAGATTATGGGGATTCCTACATTCGAGAGCTATTCTGAGCCCCAAACCTAAACTCTGAACCTTCAACTCTAAAACCTGTAAGTACCCTCGACCCTACATGAGCTCTAAATCCTGAACCACGAACCCGTAGGGTTTAGGGTTTAGGGATTCTGGGCTTCGTGTTTAGGAATCATGAACCCGGACCCTGATTCGTGAGCCCGATGTCTAAACCGCTTTTTGTCAAGCGGCGTGAGGGAAGGGCTCCTTTTCGATCTCGTGTAGCCGCAGCAATAAAGCAGTCGTCCAGGAGTTGTTGGATGTGGGCCTGTAACTTAGGGGTCTTAGTAATTAGAGTAATTAGGTTTCTGCACTTCCAGCGTCGGACTGAAACTAGATGCTGTAGGGTTTCATAGGTCTGGGGCTGAGGTTTAGGATGGTTTGGGGTTTGATGCTGTCAAAACCCTTCTGCGAAGACCCGGAAACCAGGTGAGGAATGGAAAAATGATCCCCTCAGCTTTCGCCCCCCTCCCCTTTCACCTGGGACCCCTGAAACACCAGAGCCTCTAATCTCATGATTCAGGCCCCCAAATCCTGCAGCCCCGAACCCCCAAACTCCAAGCTATCAGCCCCAAACCTTCGATCCTCACCACCTGGATGGGGCGTAGAAGTACAAAACTGTAGCTATGGGATCCTTCAAGGGGGCGAATAATGGAGGTTCTAAGCGGGGGAGGGTTTTAGGGAACCTGAGAAATTCTTATGAGAGAGCACGAGGAAGACTAGGGGATTATTGGGTTATCTACCCTAAATTTTACTAAACCGGAACCCTAAACCTTTAGCCCGCTTGAACTCCTCTGCCGTAAGGGTCTCTTAGTGTGCCAAGGCCCGCATACGATATAAAACCCCTTTAGGGATAGAGTCCTAGCGGTTTAGTTCTTGCGCTCAGGCGTATGGCTTTATGAGCACGAAACCATCAAGAACCTTTGAGCCTAAGTCCTAAATCCCACTTAACCCCAACACCCCAAACGCTACACCCGATAAACCCCCAAGCCCTAAGCCCTAATCTTCGCTCCACATCTTCTTTCCCCAAGTCCCCTACCCTAAACCCCAAACCCCTCTAAGCCCTAGGCCGAAAGCCCTCTAAGCCCTAAGCCCCTAAACCCTAAATCCCCTAAATCCCCTTAGGATTTAGGGTTTAGTTAAGGGTTTAGTTTAGGGTATTTAGGGTTTAGTTTAGGGTATAGGGCTTACCTAAAACTCCTGCAAGGCCTCAGGGGCCTGAGATGCTGCAGCTGATCGGGTTCCCCAA